AACCTTGAGTCACCCTTGGGCCACCCTTGGGCCACCCTTGGGCCACCCTTAGGCCACCCTTGGGCGAACCTTGAGTCACCCCACCCTTGGGCCTGGGCCACCTCCAGCTGTGTCACCCCAGAGGCGTCCCCTGGCTGGGCCCCCCGTGCCCCGCCCAGCGAGCCACCCTGCCCGAGCTCCGCCCGGCTCTGCCCACGGCTCTGCCCACGGCTCTGCCCGCTCATGCCCGCTGCCGGCCCTGCCCCGGGCGTGCTGTCACCTGCCTGTCCCTGGCACCACCCCACCGCCCGCTGGCCCCGTGCCCCGCTGCCTCCACCCCTCCTGGGGCACCCCCATCCCTCCCACCACCCTCCCCTTGGCCGCCCACGTCACCTGCGCTCCTCCATCCGTCTGTCCTCCTGCCGCCCTGTCCGTCCGTCCGTCCACCCATCGGCGCTTGCAGCCACCTGTCCCGTCCCCACCCCGCCAGCTGGCCGTTCATCTGCTCAGCCAGCCACCCATCTGTCCATGGCACATCCGTCTGTCCGTCAACCATCCATCTGTCCATCACCCATCCATCTGTCCGTCACCAATCTGTCCGTCACCCATCCATCTGTCCATCACCCATCCGTCTGTCCGTCACCCATCCATCTGTCCATCACCCATCTGTCTGTCCCTCTCCAACCACAGCTCCATCCGTCCTGGTGCCCATTCGGCTGTCCGTCTGTCCCACTGCCCATCCAGCTGCCCACGACCTGCCCTGCCTGCGGCCCGCCAGCCCTCCTGCCCTCGCCCGCCCTTCCCTCCACCCATCCGTCCATCCGTCCATCTGTCCATCCACCTCCCCAGCTGTCCTCCACCCGTCCATCTGTCTGCCTCCTCAGCTGCCCTCCACCAGGCCATCCTTCCACCCGTCCCTTCCTGGACCCCCTCCGCCCGCCCCGGTCCCTCAGACGTCCTCCAGCCGTGGTCCCCCTTGGGCCACCCTTGGGTCACCCTTGAGTCACCTTTGGGCTACCCTTGGATCAACCTTGGGTCAACCTTGGGCCACGTTTGGATCAACCTTGGGCAACCCCTGGGCCAACCTTGGGTCAACCTTTGGCAAACCTTGAGTCACCCTTGGGCCACCCTTGGGCCACCCTTAGGCCACCCTTGGGCGAACCTTGAGTCACCCTTGGGCCACCCTTGGGCCAACCTTGGGCCACCCTTAGGCCACCCTTGGGCGAACCTTGAGTCACCCTTGGGCCACCCCTGGGCCACCTCCAGCTGTGTCACCACAGCGGCGTCCCCTGG